TTCCATAACCACAGTCTAATATCCTTTCAAGTTTTGACAATGGTAGGATTATCTGGATTATATTTGTTTCATATTCCAAAATACAGAGCAGATGACTCAGTTTAACCTAAAACTAGGTCTGTTTGTTCACCTCATCTGCAATTTGTTATTGGCTGAGTTTTTTACATACAGTACAACCATAGAGCGAGAGAATGAGTGTTGGCTGAAGACAGCGTTCTTTAGATAAGCAGCAGTGAAATAGGATGATGCATTGTCATGGATATCCTGTTTCTGTCTCTCTGCTCCTGTCATGATGAACTCGAGGAGGTCTGTATCAACACTGCCAGCTAAGACTGTCTGCATTTTCACTTCAGCAGAAATAACACTCCGCTTGTGTTTAAAAAATACATTTTGATTTGAACTAGTATGTTTTGGTTCGTCAAACTTTGTAGAGACACTCCTTTCACATCCAGCAGTCACCAGCTAAGATGTTTACATGCTTTAGAAGTCCGCAGTGAGACGGTGGACCAGGGGGTCTTGAGCGTGCCGTGACAGTAAATTAAACCATCTGTCTGTCATAACCAAGGTGTGTTAGGAGCCTAATAAGCTCTGTGAGGAATTATTTATTTATTTTCCTTCTGTTAACTGAGGTTAGCTCAGCTGGTGTGATGCAGGATGCTACAGCAGACCAGATTTCCTCACACTGCTTCACTCATCACCCAGGTTGTGTTTCTATCCCATTTAACACTGGTATGGAAGGGCTGGACGTTGTCATCAATCACATATCAATCCCCAGAGAGACTATCAGACAGATCAGCTTTACTGAGACCGTTCCTCCATGGTGGGAGGGGCTTATCTGTAAAGCAGTGCTTTGTGATTGGCTGCAGAAGAGAAAGAGGAAGCCTGACAATGTGGGCCAGCGCAGGAAGGAAGTGGAGAATGCAGGATGTTTGGAGCCAATGTCTATCTCTGTTTCCCTTCACAATTTTAGAGACTTGGCACAAGGCAGATAGCTCCCTCTGAGCTGACAGATGATCAAAGCGCCACACAATTGCCAAATGCTCAGAGAGACTCAGGCCCTGCTACATTGCTGCCATTCCAATAAATGCCATCCTTGTCATGACCAGCATTGTGTTGGTAATTTATAGCCTGATGTGGCGTGCTAATGACAATGCTTCTGGTGACAATACTTGATGACTTTGCTGGGCTCTCTGCACAAGCATCATGATTATATTTCACAAGCAAAGATCAAGGTTGTGTCTGAAATTTAATACAAAGATTACACAGTCATGTTTTTTTTGTTTTTGTTTTACAAAACAAAAAGAATATTTTTGGTTCAGTAGAAGAGGAATCGTTCAAGCTAAAAAAACTTACTCACCCTCAGGGCATCCAAGATGTAGATGAGTTTGTTTAGCATTACATCACTTGCTCACTAATGGATCCTCTGCAGTGAAATGGGTGCCGTCAGAATGAGAGTCCAAACAGCTGATAAAAACATCACAATAATCCACATGACTCCTGTCCATCAAATGTCTTGAAAAGAGAAGCTTAACAATGAAAGAGCTTTTTGGAAGTCAGATAATGTCAGTACAGTTAATATTTTAATTATACACACAATTTAACAGCAAATCATTGTCTGAGAGGAAAAAGTAATGGCCCTTTACTAATATCTGGACAAAATAATTTTAGTTATAACCCTTTGTAGAAGTATTGATCCCCATGCACCAAGTCTACTGCAGAAATCAATAACCTGGAGACCCCAGGAGGAACAGAGCCAGACATCTGATAGTGTTTCACGGCGTAGAGCTGTCAGCTGTGCAAGGACGGGGCAAAGCTCCGGATGATCAACAAAGAGGAACATAAGATAGAGACAGCTAAAGTCACTAGGGTCACCGGTCTGTAATCGTGAGCCACAAGGCAAGTAACTAAATAACAGAGCTGCACGGAACACACATACATAATTTGGGGTTGGGAAGAATTTTTTATGTTTTTAAAATAAGTCTCTCATGCTCACTACGGCTGCATTTATTTATTCGATCTAAAATACAGCAAAACAGTAAAGTTGTGAAATATTATTACAATTTAAAATAACTGTTTGAATATATTTAAAAATTTAATTTATGATACCTGTGATGCAAAGCTAAATCAAAGCTGATCATTGATTGAAATGTAGCTGCTTAATATTTTTGTGGAAACATTTTTTTTTTTTTTGTGATGATTAGTAAGTTCAAAAGAACAACATTTATTTGAACAATAAATCTTTTTTTAACATTATAAATGTCTTTACTGTCACCTTTGATCAGTTTGGTGCATCCTTGCTGAATAATAATTATTAATTTATTTTTATTTTTAAAAGTCCCCAAACCAATGGAGTACTAATGAATATTGTAATATTTTTAGTATATAATTATCACTAGTATATTATGACTTACTTAGAAGTGCTCCCTCTATTGGCTGATTAATATTACTTCACATGAGCTGAGTGTACTATGCTTGGCTTAAAACACATAAATACATAAGAAAACGTTATTGGAGGTTGTGATATATTATGAACATAGTCATGATTAATTAAAGTCATGATTGTTAGGTACCACATGCACCAGAGTAACCAGAGATCATAATCGTGGCCTTGAGTACCTTATAAAACGGTCTATAAAATAATAAAAATGTTGAAGACATAAATATTCATTATAATGTTTGTGCCATCTTTCAAATAATCATTCATACATGACAATAAATGCAAGTCATGCTATAAACAGTAAGACCACTGGGTGTAAACTTGCAGATGAGGGTGTGGTTACTGTAATGTGACTTGACATCATGTTTACCAACAAGATCTCAGGACAGCTTGTGAAATATAGAGTGAAATAGGGTGTGACAGTGTGAGAGCCCGCAGCGAGGTACAATTTTAATATGCATTGAAACACATTTTTTTTTTTTCATTTGTGCTCATGAATCATATGTGTTCTGAAAGCCGATGCATCTTATGAATCAGGTTATGAGAGTCTGTTTTTGGTCTTGGTGTCACAGATGGCCTGCACCCTGGAAGACTTGGTGACTGGTGCCATCAGTGGCGTGACTTGGACAAAGTCAATATTTACAATTATTCAAAAAGAATGGCTGTATTAAAGACCATTTGCATTTGTATTTGCTGCAAATAACTCCTCTATTGGGTTGTTGTGTGTGTGTGTGTGTGTGTGTGTGCGAGTGTGAGTGTGTGTGTGTATAACAGGCAGATAAATCATTACCTTCATTCTGTGCCATATTGCTCTCTATTCACCACAATATTCAAATTTTGTCTTAATAAATTTACTTCTAGTATTCATTAAAAACACTTGCAGTCACACTATTTTCGAGTTTCTGTTTACTGAAATGTCGCATCAGAAGGCCTAAAGATCACTCTTGAATGTCCATGGAGAAACGGAAGAAAGCAGTGAAAATAATCACTTTGGGGCTTTTGTTTGTGTACTATAAACCATATTAATCCCATTTTGTCTTCATGTAAAGATCTAAAGGCCCTCTGCTTCCACAATATATGATGTAGATTGTCACTAAACTGGCTACAGTGGTAGCACTGTACACTGGAAGGCCAGAGATGTTGGACAGAATGGAGGCAGCAGTGTGTGTGGCCGTAACTCTCGCTGAAGCCAGGTACCCTCAGAAACATTCAGGTATCATTAACTGACAGGAAATTATTAACTAAAATGCAAACTACAAACAGTGAAACTTAACTTTTTTGGTATAAAATGCAAACTGCATTGTATCTTGTTTTCCTTAAAGCAACAGTTCACCCAAAAATGAAGATTTGTTGAAAATTTACCCTCAGATCATCCAAGATATAGATGAGTTTGTTTCTTCATCGGAACAGATTTGGAGAAATTTACATCCAGTGGATCCTCTGCAGTGAATGGGTGCCGTCAGAATGATAGAATCGCCCTGATGCCAGTGTTCTGGACTGTGTGCTGGAGCAACTTTATAACCCCTACATGAACAACCCACAGGATTTGGACAGAACATGGTAAATGTCCTTACTTGTCCTCTCCGTGCACATACACTGGAAATGTATCACTAATGTGCTAAATTATGTGTAAAATATGAAATCAAACAGACGGATGTGCTGAAATGAGTAACAGCTTGTGTGGCATATGCTACCACAGTTTGTTTAAGAGGAAAATACCTCAGAGACGTAAAACCAGAGTCCAATCAAACCATTGTTCCTTCATACTCATTTTCTAGGGCATCCGAACCAGATGAAGCAGAACTTAGCCAAGAGGAGCTGATACCTGCTGTGTCCTCAAACACATGAGGTGGGCCGCCAACTCCCCACCACCAGAAGAGCTCCACGCCCTGCCCTGGTCCACCTGCCTCTCTCTCTCAGTGCAGCCAGATCAGCTCTAGAAAGGATCCCTCACTTGTAATGCTCTGTTAACTGCTCTGAGGAAGAGAGAAACACAATGAGACTTGTTCATGTGCAAAACATCTGGCGAAATGAAGGGTTGGGGGCACAGGGGCCTAAATAACAGAGGGTTCTACATATAAATGAGGGGAACCAGTTCACACAATTTTGAAAGTCTTTCACAGTCTAGACATGACTCTAGACATACAGTATAAAAAAAAATGCACATGACTGTGGCAACTTTAACATTTGAAAGGATACTATGGCAAAGTTATTGCTTTCCTTATTCAAACTGATTTTTTTTTTCATGAATATATGGTTGACCTGAAGAATGAAAGCTATACACTTTGAAAATTATGAGCTATATATTGGCTCAAATTAAATATAAAACCAAGTAATTACATGGTTTTATTGAACAACACTGTTAAAATGCATAATGTAATATGCCTAACAGTTATACATAATATGAACAACTACATTTTATGCATTATAACAAATACCTGCAGAGGGAGGGCGCCAAAGGCCTGGTGACGTTTCACTTTACAGCATGATTAAACGATGTTTAAATCCATTAAATTTTAATATTTGGCCACATGCAAACTCCGAAACTTTTATTTTGAAATCGCGAAAAATCCCGGTAAATTTGTTCTGGCAATCATATTGTTCTTATGGAGATGACATGATTACTCTGCTTTTAATTAGTTTTTCTATGTAAATATGCGCTAGATTGACATCTTTGATCATTGCGCTTCGCAGCTTTTTCAACGTGTCGCGCTTCTCATCAGGGCTGCGCCGCATGCTAGTAATGCTAGTTTGGTTGAGAGTGAAAGCTGTGCTCCTCTCATACAATTGGTAGGCGAACTCATGGACTCGAAAGTGATATCAACAAGTTTTTTTTTTAAATGTAGGGTTATTTTTTTCCGCAGCCAAACGCTGCACGCCGGAGAACTTTAAGCCCTGAGTTTTACTGTAAATTTTAAGTGTTAAAGTCTTTTAAAATTGTATATGAAATATTATGTCAGTCTAAATATTCCAGTATTTTTATTTTTTTTTGTATGTGCCTGCTTTATTTCACATATTTCATGTTACATGAATATCAAATGACTTTTTTGACCTTTAAGTGTTGCTGTCGAACTTCAGTGAACTTCACTGGTGTCCCCTCTATCTTCTCTCTCTCTCTTTTTCAGATGAGAGTCTTGGAGGAGGAGCAGAACCTTTGGCTGTGCTTTATTGCTCAAGTTGGCAAAAAACTGAATCAGCAGACAGCTTAATTGTACCCATAAAGCCTCAGCAAATGCAGATCTGGCCAAATTCACTTTCCATCTACAGTAATGGCTTGAGTGCTGAATACTGTTTTATGTTAATGTATTTAAAACGGCAACTATCAGGGAACAGTTGACAAGAGATTGATTTGTCTCATCAACAGATACTTGTTTCATGTGTGCATTTATTAAAAATGAATCGAGGAGAAATGAAAAAGATGAAACTATTTTTACCTACTTACTATTTTATCTACTATTTTTTAAAGTAGTCACATGCATGATTCCTCTGAAGTCAGTGTCAGCTCTAGTTTCGACTGAGCTGTGAGGTGTACAGTTTAGCATGCGAATTTAAATAACTTCATCTCAGTGAGAGGATATGGAGAGATAGCATCAAGTTAAAGGAACAGAAACTTATTTTGTGCAAGAGGAAGTTTCAACATTCATCTCACTTGGCACATAGTTGCTATGGGGAAAAACAGCAGTGTAATAATTTACAGTTTGGTGTAAAACAAAAGAAATGCATTCTAGCTGACCCTCAAAACAGAATTCGCTAGGACTATTGGGCTTGTTTTATAGTCTAAATTGATTAGCAAATTGTATGTAGATACTTCATAAAAGGTAGGAACTATTGTCTCTTTTAGTAAGGATGAAACCAAATCTTTGAGAGGGGAGTGATTCCTCAGAGAAAGCTGTGCTGCTTATGTCTATATATCAGCAGTAATGGGAAGACACACCTAATGCTACAGACATTACATCAGAACGAACGGCTCTCACAGAAACCACAGACACACAGAGAAACTCATACCGAGGTTATTCTGTGTGAGCCTGGTTTTCAGTAAATGATTCAGTAAAAGATTTTAACTAAACCAAAAGCACATGTAAATTAATGAGTTCTAAGAAAGAGCTTCAAAGGATAATTCACCCCAAAATGAAATTTCTGTCATTATTGTCGTTCCAAATCTGTATGATTTTCTTTCTTTCTTTGGGAAGCATACATTAAATATACAATAAATCTAATACGTTTTTCAGCAAGCAGCATTTGTGATGAATGCAAACCACTAAGTAATTTTCCTAAACTACTTAAAACATCTCCTGCTTTGAGAAATAAATCCAGAAAGCCATTCTGTGTAGTGAGCATTTCAGAAATGCTGCAGGCATAGCCAGCCCTGCTTCTATTCAAGTCCAGTGGCCCGGGGCAGTTCTGCTGTGGACATCTCCGGATCACTGGCCCTTTATGCTAATAAACATCAGTCAGACAGTCTCCCATTATTTACGCTGCAGTTCACTGCATCAAGTCAAGTTCAAAGCAGCAAAGGGTTCAAATGAGGATTGGGAAACTTGGGAAAAAGTAAACCTCTGCGTAAAGAAAAACAAATTACCTATAGAATATGTGATATTTTGACATCCTGTTCCATGCGCCAAAGTTTCACTCTGGTTTTTCTATCGGTGTCAGGGTTGTTAATTTTACCTCAGGCTGGGGTGCTATGTCCCAAATATTCCAAACGCCCACTTTGTCTGACTCCTGCCCAGTCTGCTCTTTGAAATCCACCGTGGTTCCAGCGCGCCTGGCCGCCTGCTACCGTTTAATGAATATGTACATTACAAACAAGAGCGCAGAATTTAGTAGGGATGCTAGGGACATGTCCCTATCAATATCCAGCAACCACTCAATTGTCCCCAGCAATAATTTTGATCAAACAATTAAATATATGTGTATGTAACCATTGTTGTTGTAAATTCGGCCCATCTGAAATAGATCACACCACTGATATTACCTGAGAAGTTCAAGTAAATACGCTAGAAAACCGCACGCCTTTTTAATACATATAAGGTAGCCGAAGTGTTTAAAACATATGTGCACAGTTCAGTTGAATGATAGAGTTTACCCTCATTAACTTCATGTTGTTATGCTGTTTCCGAATGGAATGCAGGGTGTGACGGCAAACAATTTCTCTGTGCAAAGGATCATGGGGGCCCGAAGTGTCCATCAGTTGTACCCTTCATTCTGAAGGGCACTTTGAAGTGGGCAGTTTTGAGCACTTCGGTTTGGAATGACCCATCAATATAGCGGCCATGATTGTTTTCACTCCACAGTGCCCTTCAGAGGGCGATATACCCCGTTTGGAACACACTGCGGAACTTCGGAGCGAGTTCGTGAATCTTTTGATTTAGATCGGAACTTCGGAGCGGGTTTGCAAATCTTTTGATTTAGATCGGAACGAGTTCGGAAATCTTTTGATTCAGATCGGAAATTAGGAGCGGGTTCACGAATCATTTGATTTAGATCGGGACTTCGGAGCAGGTTCGTGAATCTTTTTATTTAGATCGGGAGTTTGGAGCGGGTGTGCGAATCATTTGATTCAGATCAGAACTTCGGAGGGGGTTCACACATTTTTTGATTTAGATCAGAACTTCGGAGCGGGTTCGTGAATCTTTTGATTTAGATCGAAACTTCGGAGTGTGTTCACAAATGATTTGATTCAGATTGGAACTTCGGAGCGGGTTTGTGAAACATTTGATTCAGATCAGGACTTCAGAGCACGTATAGCAAATCATTTGATTCAGATTGGGACTTCGGAGCGGGTTTGTGAATCGTTTGATTTAGATCGGAACTGCGGAGTGTGTTTGTGAATCTTTTGATTCAGATAGGGCCTTTGGAGCGTGTAACGCCAATTTTTTTTTTCTTATTTCTTTTTTTTATTAAACAGTACAAAACATAAAATCTACGGAGACCCGCACATGACATGCAGGGGAAAAAGTAAATCATGCGCACAATTTAGGCTACTAATTCTAGGCCTACACTACTGTAATAAAAAGTTGTGAATTCCAGTTTTTTTTTGTTCAATGGCTGTGATTTTTGTGCGTTGTTACAGAAAGAACATAAGCTATTTACAATGTAACATAGTGATCCTGTCTGTGAAAACCCAGCTAAAGTCATTGTTTGGTGATTTACTGTTTTCTATATAAAATCATCCTTCATAAGGTAAAGAAAATTCTGTGAAGATGTAACATTGATATCTTTATTACTGACTAAGGCCATGTCAAATATTGAAATCATAGTGAAATTAATGGTTGAAATCAAACTTTGATGCTTGTTATCTCATAATTAGATTTTGAGACTTTAGCCTGGATTTCACAGAGAGGATTTTTGAACTAATTTGATTGATTAAAACAATTATATTGTTACCATTGTTCTTTCTGGAAAAATCAACAGCAGATTTGAACTAAAAGCAGTTCATTAATGAAAGCTTCATTAACGCTTCGTTAATGAACATTTCTTTTGTCAGTCATTTTATTGAAATTGAAAATATCACTAAGTAGAGGTCAAAGAAACTAGATACTACTTACTTTAGTTCTCAGGTTTTGGTGAAGTAGCCTATTTTAAATTTATATTTTAAATTGTGAATCAGTGTTATTATCGTAAAGAGTTGAAAATAAAAGCTGAAATTAAATCAAGTTTAAGCAAGACTAACTGGAAATAAATAAAACTAGAACTGAACTAAAACTGAATAAAAATCAATTAAACCTAAATAGTAATATAAAAGAAACTAATAAAAAAATTACAATTAAAATGAAAAGCGAAAATGCAAAAAAGCTAATATATATATATATATATATATATAAACTATAATAGTATATTAACATTACTAAAATAACACTGGAGTGAATGACTGTATCCATTCCAACCTTAAACTAATACAATAATATTAGTTTATATATTAAACTAATATTATTGTATTAGAGCCAAAATTATATTATATATTAATATTATTGTATTAATATATTAGAGCCAAAAACTTCTTGATTTTTAGACAAAACTAACATTAAATGGCCATTTTGAAACACAGAGAAGGTGAACAGTCCGATATATTATGGTTGTGATTCCTCTGATTCAAAGCTAGTTGAAAGGACGGCCCCTGACCTCGACACAGTCGGCCTGTGAATCGGGGCACACAGCAGAGTCCTAGTATTGCGCTTTTTTCCTGTCTGTTTCCTCTGTTCTGCCACGACTGCCCTCCGCGTTTACCAGTCTACTGGGCTGAACACTGAGTTAATAAGAAAAATATAACAAATATCTCGATACATATAGAACAAAAGAGCCAAAAATTGGCCTTAAAACCAGTGAGGAAGGCCATAGAATGTTGGGGTTATTTAAGACCTGCCTATTCCAACAAGAAGTGCTATTAAGAAGGCCAGGTTTCCCAATAAAAACAGGACAAGCAGGACTGTTTCAGGTCTCATCTAACAAAAGCAAACAAACAAAATATCATTTTAAAACATGAAAATTACATGATCACATTGCATATACAGTATGTAGTTTGCTAAATAATCTAAATAATGAGATGTAAACTCAT